TCCTGGACTGTTTGTAGTACTCTGATATCGAGAAGGACAGCTTTGCTTCTGCTCCTGCCTGGTGCAGTTACCGTATCAACCTTCATTTGCTGGGCTGTAATCCTGTGTCTGTCTGTGTGAGTGGCACTAGTCACATTCAATAATACTTTGCTTTTGCATTTAGGCTTCTTCTGCACAGCCTTTACATACACATTTACACATCTCTGACTGGAGGGATTTAGGTGGATGCCATTAAATCTGTGCCTGATGTGTTTGTGCAGCAGGTAGGAAGAGTTATAGCACTGCAGCCCAGGGGTGACGGGTGTGGGAATGGCCGAGGCTGTAACACACACCAAAGGCTACAAATCCTTGGAGAATGTTAATTGAAAAGTTACATCGAATGCACAGCAGGTGGTTGGGACCATAATGGTAAAAAATCAGCTCAACCAGATGCAAGGGAACTGCACAGCTGCCACTTTGGTAATTGGGGGTCACCGTGGGGTGGTTAAGGGGTTGCTGAATTAGGGACTGACAGAGCTGCAGTTAGGAGATGGGAACTGGGTGGCTGTCATGGCAAAATTGCACTCCCAGGTGACTCAATGACTCCACCTTTTCATCAGCTTATCTTTGTTTTTTGAGGTGAAAGGGCTGTGGAGGGGATGGAAGAACAGCCATACATGCCATGGGTTTTGACATGATTCAGTGCTGTGGTTGACCTCAGGGTGTGTTCCTCCTACAATTAAAACTGCCAGCTTTCTCTTTGCAGAAAGCAATCTCAGAGTCCCTCCCTGTTGCTGCCTTCTTCCATCAGATAGATGGCTGCCACTGCTCCACCTTCCCTCCTCCATTCTGAAGATTATTTTTTAAAACAATCCGTATACTTACATTTTGAACATAAGACCTTCCACATCCCTTCACATGCATGATTTCCTCTGAAGGAGGAAGTGTCCCGCTAGTCCAGCATTATTTGATCTTATGTGGCTTTTACCTTTCCCTTCTCTTTGATCCCAAATTTCTTGACACAAAAATAGTGGCTTTCACAAGGATCGGGCAGATTTATGGAACTCAAGGGCCGTGAGATTCTCTGAGTCTGAAACTGCCTCAACATGAAATAGAAAAAATTGCTAAGAAATGTACCATGGCCTCTTTTTTCTCTTTCTATGCAGCTTTCCTAATAAGGCAGATGAGAGACAGACAGGTTTTGCTTACAGCATTTGTAGGTGGCACTGTGCTCCTCACCCCCTCCCTGTTCCCCCTCCCTGTCCAGGTGCTGTGAGCAAGGGCACACAAGTCACACATCAGAGGCCAGCAACACTTTTGCCTAATATTGCACTTCCAGCTTTTTCTGTGCCTTCCTAAGAAGTCAGATTCCTAGAAGTATTTGTAAACAGAGCTCAGGAAGACTCCTAACTTTGCCTCAAGTAGCGCATCATGAATACTATAGTTATGAAATGAATGCCCCTAGGAGGAGCACAGATGTAGTTGGTAACCTACCCCACAGCACCGAGCTGTGCAGAGCAGAGGGAGCAGCAGAAATCAGCCCCTCCATGTGCACATACGCTACACTTTTCCTTCTCTTCATCAGTGTCTAATTAAATTCCAGTCAACCTGAACAAAAAGATGCATACTTGTTGCAGGCAGTAAATAAGGATATGTTAGGAAATGAGCATGTATGAATTTTAGCCACAAGTTGAAGAATACAAAGCAGCTGAATTATCAGAAAACTCTAGGGTACCATTTGATAGCAAATGTTTCTAATAACAACATGTAAAATTACAGATCATAGCAGTGACATCAAATCAGCATTTTCCAATTCAGAATTAATCCAAAAGCAATCCAGTCAGTATTTCTTCCATACATGACACTCCAGTCAATAGTACCATGTTATATTAACATTGCTTTCAAAAACACATGACTAAGTGTCGTTTGCCAGCCTGCAACTAGAGGTTCCCTGGAATAATCTGCATATAGGAATATATTTGATATGAAACAGCTTTGCCCTTGACTGGAAATAGAGGCAGGAAAACAAGGCTTGTTTCCTAACACCAGTCATCAGAACAAACGACTGTACCTCTTGCAATTACTACTATAGCAAAAGACCTGTCTCTGTGTTATTGGAATATTGACACAACACTTTTAATTACAGTTTGAGTAAAACTGAGGACTCAAATACAGAATAGGGAAGAGTTTCATCACTGCCTTGATGTTCTTGGTGTTATTCTGCTCAAGATGAATAACTTACAGTTTGGTGGTCACAGAGCCTGGCCTTACAGATAACAGGGTTTTCCAAGCACTTTCTGAGATCTACCATTCTTTTAGAGCTGATACCTTCCACAGAGCAGCATGACCCCATCTCACTTCCTTGCTGTCCCTAGGAGCCTGAATGCACTTTTGGAGCAAGGACATGGAGAGGACTCTGAGCTCTCAGCATGCAGTAAGGCTGGAGGTGGCCACCCACTGGGTAATGGCTTCAGCTGGGCAATTCCAGATGTGGCCTGGAGTCCTTGCACACATATAGCCACCACCAGAAGCACCAGCAGAGAGCAGTAAGTGTCATAGTGCAGCATAATCCCCTCTTCAGCCTTGTCAAGGATGGCAGGATCAGACTTCCATTCTCAGATAATAACCATTTCATGTAGGCAGTTACAAGACCTATTTATAGGGATTATTTTACCTGCCATCTTTACCCTTTAGAGGAAAGGACTGGTACTTTGAACATGTGGCAATTTTATACTACTCACCCACCCCCATATCTTTTATTTGGGTGTGTAGTATCTGGTTATGTTTCCATCTGGATGACTCTTGAGTTAGTTAGACAGTGATTGTTTTATGAAAAAATTATGAAACAAAAGTAGTTCAGGTAGACTCTGAACTGAAAGGAGGTTGGGATCATCTGACTAATGACCCACCTAGGTCTAGTTTGCCTGCTCCAAGAAATCTGGGAGAGGTGTTTACGATTAGCTGTTTGTGTAACCAAGCTATGCAAACTAGTAAAAACAAGTCGTGTGTGTGAGAGAGAGAAGGAACATTGACTGCTTTGACAACTGCTTTGCCATTGCTAAGGAAACTGCTCCCTTGGTAACCATGGTCAGTACATCTGTCTTATTTTATCTCCAATTCTCACATAGACACCATCATGGAAAGAATATTAACACAACAAACCCCCCAAACATTTCAGAAAAGGAAAAACTAATGAAAGCACGAGGTTTCTATTGATGTCTTTACTAAAAAGTTTAGGGAGATTCTGCTTTGGTGTTGATTATGACTTTGCCTTGCCTGAGATGTGCTCCTTAAATATTAACTTAAGCACAGTAATAATTTATTCTTTTGTTCTGCTTTGTACTTCTTTAAAATGTGATACTTATTTTATGATCTGAAAGATAACAACAAACTTTAGAGAGGTCTCTGAACTTTTTGGATCAGGAACATGTGACATCAGCAAGAGCTTTCTTGACAGTTCTGTTTAGATCCTTTAACAAGGAGGAAAACCAGAAACATGCACAGAAATCAAAAACTGGATGGAGTTTTTGCCACTTTTTAGTGAAATCAGAATATTTTCCTGTACCTACCAATAAATCAGATGTGAAATATTGATAGAAATACAACTTTACACAAAAAATGCCCACAAAACCACCAAATCTAATGAAACAGAAGAAATATGTCTGTTACAGAGGATGCAAACAGTCCCTAAGGCTTTCTATTCATAATATCAGGCACTATGAACATCCTTTGGGTAATCTTTTGCCTCAGCGATAAGAATTCTACTACGCTGCGTTAGCAGCACCAGAGGTACACAGGTTTCTCAGTAACTTTAAGAGTAGCATTTTCCTGGTCTTGTAAAGAAGAGAAAAAACTTGAATGATGGTGAAAGAGCAGGTAAGAACTTACACACAAATTTGAAAGTATTTGTTCTCAAGGTGGGCCATAGTGACTGCATGATAGAGGGACCAGGAGAGCCAGGGCTGTGGTTTGTGGATTTACTGTGACTGCATGCATAGCTACAGCATTATCTATTTGATAAGAAAAGCCACCATTCAAGCTCAGACCACTTCTCTAGCCTTGTGCCCCTTCTCTAACAGCAGCTGGCAGGAGAAGGCTGGAGAAGAGCTTAAGGACAAGGCAATCATGGTGGTACCTCTCCATGTACTCTGCCAGTGTCTCAGTAAAAGAAAAGTGATGTCTGTAACAGCCCACCAGAGATACAAGGATGCTGACTGATGGAAAATTTTGGGCTAGTGTACTGATCTCAAGAACAGAGCAGAGATAGCAATCCATGGCTTCTCACGGTGGTGTGAGCATACTAGCACCTCACTAAAGAGTTGTGTCACATGCTTTGTGGTGGGAATTAGCTCTGTGTGAAAAGTTACTCACAGCTTCTTTCCTTTGAGTAACCTTGTTGATGACAACATGATAAAGCAATAACTTAGCTTCAGCTGAGACAAACAACCCAGCATCCATTCCTATAGCATGAATATGGTAGTTGTATCGCCATCAGCAAACCTTACTTTCACATCAGCTATATATTCATGATATATCTTTCCTTTATATCTATTCTTTTTTAGGAAAAATAATGCAGTGTGAGCTATTGTCACTGGTATTTGATTTCCCACTGCAGAAGTTTTGAGACATTAGTAAAACATAAATGCCATTTTACTGCTCTGTCATGTAGCCTCACCTTTCAATTTTACAAGTAGCATTTGTAACCGATTTATTTACCCAAGGCCATTTAATATAAGCAACACAGCAATTAGTGCTCATGAAACATTGGGTTTAACTTTACCTAGAAGCCAGAAGCAGTTGTACCAATACCGCTGGTGTAAGGGAGTTGCCATGAGTCATTTCTTCCAATTCTTTCCCTCTCACACCTCCAGATCCAGTGGCACACCCAGAAGAAGCTGTGCTTTTCCTTCTCCTGCATGAAAACAAGGGGAAGAGCATCTCAGCCCTTCCAGGAGCTGAATGTGACTACATGGACTACCAAGGCCTTGGATATCATCAGGGAACAGCAAGGTGTTCCCTAAGGAGCAGGGAGCCAACACAGACACCATGGCCAGCTGGCACAGTGTGGAGGGAGCCCCTCTCTGCAGTACCTGAGTAGGAGGAACAGGCAGACCTGCAGATGGTGGCCAGGTCCAACCAAAAGCCTAGGTCATAAGGCGAAATTGCAATGAGGTCAACCTGGAAGTGAGCCTGTAGGTCAAGACAACCAGCGTAGCTCACAGAAAGGAGCAAATGCCCCGGGTCAAACTTAAATGGGCTCCCAGAGCTGTGGGAAGTGCTTAGAGGAACCAGGTGAGGTTGATTAGAGCCATTAAGGCTTATCAGTGCCCTCAGGGGCTTGGAAAATTCCACAATAGGAGGAGCCAGCTATATAAAAGATACTCACCCAGTTACTAAAGCCCTGATGCTTTCGCCACCTTCAGTACTAAGGAAACTGCTGACAACTTTCTTTTCAACTACTTCAGAAAGCAGTGTTACTATGAGGAAGAGCGGTTTCCTTTTGTTTAAGTAAAAAACCCAAGCAAAAACCGGCTCCCCCCTCAAGAGTCCCACACCACCCCAAAACCCAACAAGCTACATTACTAGAGAAAATTGAAAAATAATTACCACTGACAGATCATAGATTCACAGACTGGTTTGTGTTGGAAGGGAGCTTAAAGCTCAACCAGTTCCAACCCCCTGCCACAGGCAGCAACACCTTCCACTAGACCATGTTCCTCAAAGCCCTGTCCAGCCAGGCCAAGATATAAGGATTCATGTACACAAATATGTTAGAGGTTTTGTGGAAGACCACACTTTGGCAAGCTTGCTTGTTCTAACCTGTCTCTGCAGCTGTGCAGGTATATAAAGTCCTTTGAGTTTGGATCTAGGCAGTGTAAACCAGACAAGCAAACCACTTGTAATAGCAGCACATGCTTTTTGAAGCGTATTAACTACTGCCACCACATGATGCTGAACCTTCTCGCCAGTCACTTGCTATGGGATAACTCTAAGATTAGGCAGGAGAAGGCTGACATGTGAAATCTGTGCCACTTACTTAACCACTCTGTCAAAATGAATTGGGCTGCTCTTGCTGCGTTAGCCTAGAGAAACAAGTGGCAGGGCCTTGGCTGGCATATGCCTATGGAGTGGGGAGTGAGCCTTCGCCTCCATGTGTCAGGTTGACAAAGCCTCGGGGTGGGGGGGGTGAGGGGACAGGGCTCTGCTGTGGTCTCTTCATGTCAGCCAAGGACCTTCTCAAATGGGTATCTGAAGGCTCATGCTCCCACTCATTGCAGTGTGTGGGAGCCCTTGGGTAGAGTGGTGCCAAGACTGCTCTGAAACTAGCTGGTGTGGTTTTGAGGGTGACTGAATGATGACTGAGATGACAAGCTGGCTGGACAAGGGCTCGCAAGAAAGTAGGCCAGCAAAAATTTCTAATTCAGATAAAAATACCTTTGTAGTCTTTGTAGTGAGGGAGAGCAGCGGCACTCAATCTAAATGTCTCTATCCAAAGAATGAGCAAGAAAGAGCTTTCTTAGATCCTTTACCTTTACTTAAAAGAGACAAGAGATGATCTGACAGCAGGTTCATTAGGCTCAGCTTCCAATAATGAGGCTGTCGTAGGACTCATCTTACAGCTGAGCCCGTTGCCTGCACAGCCTGCAGCCACTTGCTGAAGAGCTTCTGCCACCTCCAAACACACACTGCCCTCTCTAGATCTTCATCTAAAAGAGGAAAACATCACAATTAAAAGCAAAACAGACTGTAGCTCTCCTGAGAATAATTTATTCACAAATCTCTTTCCTAGACCAAGGCACACTTCATCACGAGGTTTTGTTAGACACCTGGGGAGTGGTGCTGTGCCTAATGGTCAGGAACCCTCCTGAGCTGGCTGGGAAAGGAGATGTCCCCGAGTGTGGTGGGGGGCAGGAATGGTTTGATGAACTGAAGATGCAGAAAAAAGAACACAAAACAAGTTTGGAAGGGACATGAAGATCATGCTTAATTCAAAGGAGTTTGCCCTTGAGACCCATGGAGAACACATCAGCTGGCTCCAGCTAATGTGTTTTCTCCAGCACTCCAGAAAAAAAGAGCTGAAGTACAGTATGTACTCGTCTGCTGAGACATTTAGATTGGCTACTAATACTCTGCAAATGTTTATAAAGAAAACAAAATGTGGATGATAGCCATTTTCATTAAAGCAAGCTGATTCAGTTCACCCTGAATCACAGGATCCCTGAGCCATTTTGGAGACTTCTGCTTCACAACAGCACTGAGGCTGTGTGGCTCTTGCTGCTGGTTGCTTGCTTGATGGGTCTGGTACACACAGCTGCAGGTGGAGGCATTGCCAGGGCCAGGTATCTGCTCAATGTCTGCAAGGTGAAGGTTAATATCCCTTGGCCCTGCCACCTCAGTTTGATTTTAATCAAGTCAAAGCCGAGAGGAGGAAAAAGACAGAATTGAAACTTCAAGCGTTACCTGCTCAGGGCAGAGTTCCCTCTTGTGTACTATGTAAAACTGTCAGAAAATTTGGTGGCTGGTTCCTTGGGTGCAGATCATGATCTTCCTTTGGGCCAGGCAGCACATCTCTCTTGAAACCAGGAGCACAGATGTTTTATGATGTTCTGGGAATGTTTCCCATCTCTGTCACCTGCTGCACCTCATCACCCACATATTTATGCCAGTAAAGCATGAGAATCCCATACTGGTTTATATATACCATGCCCATGGCAGAGCCTTCAAAACAATGGGAACTGCAGTTCTTGAACCATTGCTCTCTGTAACTGTCCCTACCTCCAAAATAAGTGACTTTGCCAACCTTGCAATGAAGGAACTGACAACAGTGATGAAAGCAGAGACATAATTTCATGTCCACCCCAGTAATTCTCTTTACTGAAATAACGTAAACCCTGGGGATTAATTTGGCTCATTGTGGGCGGGTGCTGTCTAACTCGCCCCAGTTGGCTCTAGCTGAAGCTGTGAAGCCTACAAAGCCATGGCCTGACACACACTGGCACCTGAGTCAAAATGTCCTGATGAGCTGTGAGACAGAAACAAATGCCCATGGGACTGGTTGGAGCAGCAATTGTACTAGGGTGCTCTCAGCCATCAATAGCATCCTTTCGCAGTGGTGCCAAAATCAGACTGGGTCATGGCATAAGCCACAAAGGGCCTGTTTCTCCCATGCTGCCTTCTTGCACCAGTGACACTGCAGTCCAAACTATCCATTGAGATATCAAACAATCCCAAATCAGCCTGTCTGGTAGAATTTTGTATCTACTGCCTGCAGATGGGTCAGATTGCCCTCTCCTCCCCAGGACGTCTTCTAGCTAACCCCATTTTCCTTCTGTCTCCTTGTCATTTCCTTATCTTGACGCCTGTTTATGTTATGTGTGTCTATGTTCTACATGCTGGAAGCCTAATTTGAAGCCAAAAATGGCACTGCCTATGTCTCGTGGTGTCCCTAGCCACCACACGTCCCACCCTCCCGGCAGAACTACAGCCAAAAAAGTTTGCTTCTCTTTCGGCGCTGCAGTGCTTTCGGATGTCAGAACCAGTGTCAGCCCTCTTCAGAGACTTGAGCAACTGCTGTGAATTTAAAACAAATATTTTTCATCTTAAATGCCATGGCAGGTCAGCTAAACAGAAAAGAATAGCTGGTAACAGGCTCAGAAGGACGGCGGGGTGGAGTGTTTACAGCTCCATCAACAGCTCGGTGTTAATGAGCTGAGTCCGAAAATTACTTCTCTATTGATGAAGGCATGGATGGAGTGCACAGATGAGAAAGACAGTGATTGCCTCTGGCTGCAGGCAGAACTTGGAGTGTTTATTTTTCACTTTCGATTGAACTGGTTTTTTGGAGAGTGCAGTAAAGTTCTGAAAACCGCAGTCATGCAGCTGCCTGTCGCCTGGCACATGCATCAGCCCTGCAGCTCCAGCTCTAGGGGTGCAGGATCTCATCCTGCCGCAAGGAGCATCTGTCTGTGCATGGGAAGTCAAAAATTAAGCTGTGAAGTTGGCTCTTTGTTCTGTGTGTTGTGTGTGCACATGTGTGTACTCATGCATGCCTTTTAACCAAACCTGCTAGGTAGGAACAATTTGAATGTTCTAGACTGAGTAGAGGTAAAAGGACTGCAAATATGTCAGAGGAAGCTTATCCTGCATTGCAACTGTGGTAACTAATGGGAATGTTCTCATGCAAGATGTTATTTCTGCCCCTGATCTTTCCCTTTTCTTTGCTTTCTGTAGGAGACATTGGTGGTGCTATGGCTGAGCAAAGTGGGACAAGAAAGATGTCATCTCCTTGTCTCACTCTGGAGGATGCTCCTTTTGAACTTCCAAAGTATCAGTGATGCAAATGGTGAGTTTGTCCAGGACAGCTTCTTCTGTTCAGTGTGGCCATTATTTTTGAGAGGTTTTTTGCACAGCATTTCCCTATAGGGGAGTTTTAGTGTGTTGAATTGTGCTGTAGCTAAGGGCTGATGTGTACAAGGTGAATGGCATGGTGCCACACAAGCGGTTCAAGCACATCAGCACTCAGCACTGCCCTTTGGGGTCCTGCTTATGATTTCTGAGAGAAATTTCCTATGGTTGAGGCTTTTCCATAGGTCAAGAGAGGGGACACCTCAAGAAATTCCACTCTTCAGCTATTAGTGAAATTAATTCATAATTTCTGCCATAATTTTGGATGAATGAATTTGTTGGTGTTTGTTTGAGGACCAAGGGCTGCATCAACCAACTTGCTTTTTTGTTCCTGAAGGAAAATTATTTCTTATCTTAAACAGCACTTTCTGCTTATAGAGAATCAGAGAATCATTTAGGTTGGAAAAGTCCTTTAATATCAAGTCCAGCTGATAACCTAACACTGCAAAGTCCACCACTAAACCATGTCCCTAAGTGTCACATCTACATGTCTTTCAAATACCCCTAGGGATAGTGACTCCACTGCTTTGCTAAGGAGCCTGTTCCAATGCTTGACAACCTTTTCTATGAAGAAATTCTTCCTAATATCCAATTTAAACCTCTTCTGGTACAACTTGTCCTATCACTTGTTACTTGTGAGAAGAGACCAACACCCACCTCTTTCCATCCTCCCTTCAGGTAGTTGTAGAGAGCAATAAGGTCTCCCCTGAGCCTCCTTTCCTCCAGATTGAACAACCCCAGCTCCTTCAGACATTCCTCATAAGACTTGTGCCCCAGACCCTTCACCAGCTTTGTTGT